TAACAACAAGTACATTCATTGTTTGCAGAAAAAACTGGATTTTACGCTTAAAGTAATTGGTGGTGGCATGACAGCAATTCCTGGCGTTTCTGATGCAATTGAGGTTTGGGCGAACTCTTACCACTAAATCTGTTTCTCTGGTTTGTTATCCTTCCACAACAACCAATGCAGTTTGATGTAGATGTAACGAAGGCCTACAGATGCCATGGATATTTGGCTGGCGTAGCCAAGCCTTATTTTGAAGTAGTGGCTTAGTGTTATAACTACAAGGATAGGATGTTCTTGTAGTGGTTATTTTCATCTTTGTTTATGACATTCGGGAACTTGATTCACGACATGTTAACAAGATGAAACAATTCGTTAGTTTCTTAGTGCAACGAATTTGCTACTTTGAGTTGTTTGCCTGAACTTGAATTTTTCAATTACGCAGTCATAAAATGGAAAGCTTAACAAATGTTAGTTATGATTTTCTACACTTGAGATGTACTAAAATGAATTCATTTCCCCAGGGAACCATCCGGATGCTGTTGAAGACTCAATCATGTGGCCAGTTAGAAACGTTATACGAAATTTTACCAGGGGAGTATAGGTATTGATATTGACAATGGTTTCATTGTATATACGAAGTCAATTTTAAATTAAATAAATAGATAAATATTATAAATTATAGACCATATACTAAATTAAGTGTTTTGAGTTGAAAATATCATTCTTATCTAACTTTGCATCAACATCTTTCTTTTGTTTTTTCACAATACTTTTCAAAGAGAAAAACAATTGTACGACCAAGTCAATTGAGAAAAAAAAAGAATAATAACTGAACAATAAAGACAAGCTAGAAGGGACACTTTAATCAAGTTGTATGAATACAATAAATTTTAGTGCAATTTTTCTACGGAATCTATATAATCATAAAAAGTCAAGATGTGTCATTATGAGAAACAGTTAGGGTACGTTCGGGATAGAGAAACCAATTTTAATTATGGAATTTAATTTATACAATATTCCAAGTTATTAGTGATTAGTTGTCTCTTCTGCTATTTTCAAACTTGTTAGATACACAATAGTTTTCAATCATTAGTCCATTCCATCTAAGGATATAAGGGATACAGTAATGTAATTACAAAGTTCATTTTGAGGTGTCATTAACTATAGATATATAAACACACAAATAATTATGTTTCTATCAAACATATATAAACAACAAACAGAAAATTGAAGATACAAAAACAGAAGCTTTCTATTGTTGATTTCACTTCCATTAGGACTAACTTCTTTTCCTTCTGTCGAGTTTTTAAGAACTCTCTCTAATGAAGTCATAGAATCGTTCTGAGAAAAAGGGTAACTTAGCCCATTGTTCATGCCATTCGGGCAGTATTCCAAGTGCACCTAATCAAAGATAATGAGAACAGTTAACATACATATCAAGCACAGAGACTATTCTATGTGTTGTGCTCACAATTTACAACAATAATAACATGCACATTGTCATCCCACAAGTGACTCTGATGTAAACAGACCTTATCCTACCTTTATGGGATAGAGAGGCTGTTTTCGATAGACCCTCGACTCAAAACAAGTAGACAAATCATGACAGAAAGGAAAATAATGACTACAAAATGCGCGATCTGTGTTAGCTCTGCTCTGGAGCTATAAGGGAAAGGAAATCACTGCCAATAAGTTTACAACATAGGACTAAACGATGGCAGCTGAGACTACTATAATGCACTGTATGATCTACGTTCTGCAGGATATGTAACCCCTCCCCCCTGTTGTCTTCCTCTCTAATGCACTCGGTAGATCATTAAGAATATAATGAGCAGGAACAAACTCATACTATTCACAGGACAATTGGTGCCACCAGTACAAAAGGGATGCAAATTGCAAAATATAAGGAAATAAACGCACCAGGAAGCCAACGGGATTCAACATCTATCGTATCTACATGAAAAGTAAAATTGACTTCGTATATACAATGAAACCATTGTCAATATCAATACCTATACTCCCCTGGTAAAATTTCGTATAACGTTTCTAACTGGCCACATGATTGAGTCTTCAACAGCATCCGGATGGTTCCCTGGGGAAATAAATTCATTTTAGTACATCTCAAGTGTAGAAAATCATAACTAACATTTGTTAAGCTTTCCATTTTATGACTGCGTAATTGAAAAATTCAAGTTCAGGCAAACAACTCAAAGTAGCAAATTCGTTGCACTAAGAAACTAACGAATTGTTTTATCTTGTTAACATGTCGTGAATCAAGTTCCCAAATGTCATAAACAAAGATGAAAATAACCACTACAAAAACATCCTATCCTTGTAGTTATAACACTAAGCCACTACTTCAAAATAAGGCTTGGCTACGCCAGCCAAATATCCATGGCATCTGTAGGCCTTCGTTACATCTACATCAAACTGCATTGGTTGTTGTGGAAGGATAACAAAACAGAGAAACAGATTTAGTGGTAAGAGTTCGCCCAAACCTCAATTGCATCAGAAACGCCAGGAATTGCTGTCATGTCACCACCAATTACTTTAAGCGTAAAATCCAGTTTTTTCTGCAAACAAAGAATGTACTTGTCATTTTTTCTATAGAGTTTAGGTGTGAGATACGCACGTGAGTAGCCTTATCCCGGTAAAAGCAAGTGACATCTGCACACACACGGGAAATGCAGAACTAAGACAGTGATCAGCACCCACACTGACTTGTTTTAATTTAGAACAAAAGAAATAGCTTTAGCTTCAATTCTGGATTGTGTAAATAACATGCTTATTTTCTTTTATTTTAAGTATCAACACGATGCCTAAATTGTTTAAAGGTAAGTATCAGTAACATGTTTAAATTGATATCTGTGCATATATGTGCCAAAGTGATACAACACCTTCTGCCTTAGAGAATAACATACAGCTCCGAAGCAAGGAAACTCATCAACAAGTGGCCTGAAGATGAGCCTGAAAGTACCAGCAAACGCGATGTTCTTCACCTAAACGAAAGGAGAGCAATAATCACAAAGTTAAAATCAGATTCATAAGAGTTGAAACATAGCAAGATGCAAATATTTCAGGAACCAAAATAGAAACTTGCAAGGAGGATAAATTACTGGCGTCTTCATTTCTTCACTCTTAAATCGTGCAACTCTTTTATATTACTATTAAGGTCGTATCGCAGGGAATAAAATGACATTAACTTTTCATTTTCTGCTCAATCCAAGAAAAACTCAAAAGCACGAGCATGTCCATGCAAATCATATGGGATAACAAGCAAGTGTAAGCCACAAATACAGACTAGTTAAGCTGAAACAGTTGTTTGTTCGCCATTTCAACAAGCTCTTTCAGAAACAATATTCGATAACGGAAATATCACGTGAAGCAGTTAAAGTAGTATGTGTCACAGCTCTGAGGTGAAAGTATGTTGTTCAGATTCTTCAAAAAATGTCGACGGGTGCATGTCAGATACTCCAAAGTAGTGCAATTTTGGAGAATCCGACGCGGGTGCAGCTACACTTTTGGAGAGTACGAGCAACATATGGTGAAACTAATTACCTGCACCGGTAATGCTACACCAACACAAGTAACGATATCAAGTATTATGCTTGTATTCCCATCCCATTTTATCTCTAATTCCATAGTAATACCCTCACTTCCATCTTCAATAATAGAAATCCCTGCAGTGGCATATATATATATGAGATCAAGCATTTGTTAAATGTAATGTGATTTATCCTCACAAGCAGTTTCATATGTATAAGTGATGACTCCTAAAACTCTAAGGTAGTATAATATACAAGAGCTTTGAGGCATGTTACGCCAGCCAGCCATCGTTTACTAACCCGTGAATCGTGGAGCAACTGTACCAAGGGTGAACTCTGAAAATTTTAACGACGTCAAAATCACAGGCCTATATTGTTCCAAAATTGGCTCCACACTTGACTTTACTAGTTCTGCTGCTGCCTGAATGACCATATATATCCATACCAACTCAATTAGCAACAAAGAAGTTCCAACAATCAGAGTGGAAAACCAAACTATGTACAGACATTGAACCCCTAACCTCATCCATATATGGCCAGATCTTTTCAAGATTTGAATTAAACCATGCCAACTGTAAGAACAAAATTGAAAAAATTAAAAAGGACATTAACAGTGTGTTTGTTAATATCTTATTTTCTGATTTTGGTCTCCAAAGCACATGTTGTTAGGTTATTAGCATTTTAATATTAATATTTAACATATTAAATTGCTTTATTTTGGAGCTATAAGAATGACCATTGGTAGGCATTTGTGTTTTAAACTACCAATTTAATCATGCTATTCATCTTTGACTTGGTAGTCATGTAATGCCATTACTTTTGGCACTGAATTCATTGTGAGATAAAAACATTTCAATAAATATTGAAATGGATAACTTCTACATCATCCATTAGCATTGGTTATCCGTCACTTTATTTCATTCTTAATTCCTACATTACTCTTTGTAACCTATGTAACTCGTATTGTAACCTATGAAAATCTTAAGATCATTATCTTCACTATTTACTACCTCCATTATCTTTCTATTCATTGCTAGGAAGACTTCTCGTAGTATAAATACTGGTGGTTTTCATTTGATTTGGTACACACAAAACACAAGAGAAAACAAAGAGTGAAAGAGTTAGTCTAAAAGAGAGTTCTTATTAGTTGAAGGGAGGTGTTCTTTTTGGTGGATCTTTGGACTCAACTCTTGTCCAGAGTTGTTGAGTTATACTTTGTGCAGACTGTTGTATCCTGGAGTGTACAAGTCAAAGAGGATTACTGCTGGACCGGTGAAAATATTTGTTGCAGTGAGCTTGAATCTCCTTAAAGAGAGCGAGATATCCGCGCCTCAGCCTGAAGAGATTAATTTCTTCATTTTATTTTCAATTGTAATCTTATAATTTTATTATCTTGTAAGTTTTTTCACTAACACATGTTTTAGCAAAAATATTTTCCACCAAATAGGAATAAACTGTAGAGTCCATCCCATATATTTAGGTCAACTTTTGCTATTCAACCACCAAATAGAAACAAATTGGTGGTTGACAAATTAGTAAAATTTGCAATCCTTTTTTGAATTTGTTATATCTACCTGTGTTATTAGTGACATAAACATAATTTTCTCTTTCTATAAATAGAGCATTCTTGCTCATTTTTAGGACACACCAAGTAAGAGGGAAAAAAATCATAGTTAGAGCAAAGTGAGGTATTCCATAAATTATACAAGAAAAATAGTCTGTAAAGTGAGTAATATTTTAGTAAGGTGGAAACCAAAAAAAAGTATGTAGTAGCCACTTTGAGTATTGTATTCGCGACTAAACAGTGTAAAATTCCTTACTATAGTGATATTTGCTCCTCTTGGCCAGTGGTTTTTCCCTTATATAGAAGGATTTTTACGTAAAAAATTTTTGGTGTCATTATTTTTCCATTTTATTTTCGTTACTTTTACCATATATATTTTTGTATTTGTCGGTGTTTTCCCAACACAAACAATCATCATTATTATCAATCTTTACTACTCAAATATTTTTCACCAAAACACTATCCCATTTGCTGATTCAATTTTCAATAAATGTCTTCTTCCCCGAAAAGAAATCCATTACGAAAAATATTTTCCAGAAAATAAGTCATTTTACAGATTTATGATAAATGACATTGCTTTAGCTACAAGTGCAGCAAAATCCAGAAGCTTTGGTTTAACACTATATTAATGTTATAAGATATTAAAAATAGCTTTGGTGACAGATGAGTGTCGGATACTCTAAACTAGTGCAACTTAAGAGGATCCAATATGGTACGACAACATAATTTTTAGAAACCCAACAAAGCAAAAAAAAGAACTATGTGATCTAGAATACATATAACCTAAAAATTTTGACTCCGTCACTACGTCCTACTAAATACATCCTAAACAAAAGTTAAAAACTTCACCTTTTGTTGATTTGAAAAAACAACCCAAGTAGGGTATTCTTCTGGTGTAAAGATTTTTCTTGAATCTTCCACTGTCATTCTAGCAAATGCAGCAATTCCACTAGCCTTCACAATTCAACCAAAAAACAACATAAATAAATATATATATATACATTGACGTAAAAAAAATGGGAAAATGCATAAGTAATCTCAACCTATATCTGAAATCTCAGAGACATTTTTATACTATTCTAAGGTCCTATTACCCCTTTAACTTATTTTATAAATAATTTTCTACCTCATTTCGACTTACGTGACACTATCTTGTGAGCCCAGATACACATTTCCCTAAAAGAAAGAAAAAAACAAAGACTTCAGTTTACTAACCAGATCAGTACGTTGTTTGGATCTAGCATTTCCAGATTTCACAAAAGCAACTATTATAGCAAGTCCAAATGCTATTCCAAACACAACCCCTAAAACAAATGACATTTTTTTTCACAATTTGTATTGTTCCGCAAGACATTTTAAAGGACGGAGAAGACTTAACAAAATAATACTCTCTAGATATTGAGTTCATTAACTATCGATCGCTGCGTTTGTGAAAAAATTTCTGCAGAAGTTGTAAGAAATTTCCAATGAGAGAAACTATTTCTTGACCAAGTCAAGTGAGGAAGTAAATGAACAATAATACCGTGTGGAATTTAATCTATATTTTTCTTTTATGCTTTTTATTCAAAATTTTGTTTGATATGCGTCTTAATATCCTTCATAATTAAGAAATTTTATGAGAAAATTCCGATTAGTTGTCTCTTGTGCTGTTTACCAACACTTTTCAGATTTAGTTAATGAGGGGAACTCCATTTATATGATACAGTTTAAATATGAAGAGAGACTATTTCCGTAGACCCTCGACTCAAGATAAAGGTGTGGTGATCTGTTCTATATTAAAAATGTTCTTTAGCGTCAACTAATTAACGGCTAAAGCTTAATCGCTACTAAACATGTATTTTTAGCGACAATTTGTACTTTTTGTAAGTGTCTCTAAAGCTTATAGCGACATTGAATCTAATGAGAACTAATTAATATCAATAACGGTTTTAGCACTCTTTGTTAATGTGTATGTTTATTGCTGCTAAAAGTTGATATTGTTGTAGAATTGTAGTGAACGGTTGCCTATTCAACCGATATTGTTATCATTGCTAGGCACATTATTTTAGAGTTAATATACCTGTGGTTACAAAAGTGACTTCACATGTACCCCTACTTTTACAAAAGTGATAAAATGATTTTTAAAAAAAAAATTAAGAAAATCATGTTGGGGTATACTTTATTTTTTTCACACATAAATTATTTTTTCTCTTTTTTGGCCTTCTCATTTTCTTAGGGAAAATGCCTTCAAAAAATCCACAAACCATTTTGGCTTACGACTTCGTTAGGTTATCATTGATTTTCTTAAAAAAGAAAAAATTAATGCACTTTTTTTGGTTATTTTTTCTTGCAAAAATACACAGGAACACTAAAAAATATTGTTACTTTTTTTAATATAAAAAATCAATGACTAACGAATGAGCGTGAATTTTTATATTAAACTATTGCTGAGTCAAAGTGAGGAAGAAATTGAAGACAATAATATCAACAGACAAATATGATGTTTTCCACAAAGACATATCCAACAGATATTTTGCATAATTTTTAACGACTGCTTTACGCCTTATTCTTTAGGTATTCAACAAAGAATCGGAGTAATAACATAACATATTTAGTGTAATTAATTCCACAAGTAGTGTGTACCTTGAGAAGGTAGTTGTTTCTGTAGACCCTCGACTTGTACATATGCTAATATATGAGGAACCCATTGGAATATGACCTGTGAGATTGTTATGGGATAAATTGAGTTGCCAAAGTGAGTTGAGTTCCTTTAGTGTTTTCGGAATGACACCTTCAAAATGGTTGCTTGAGAGATCTATGGTTGTCATAATTGTGCTAATTCTTTCTACCTCAATATCCTGACCTTTGATCACCAACCTCAATGAATCCTTGTACACTTCATCGCTGACTATTTCTATCATATACCTCGATGATTTGTCAATCCTTATGTCACTAAATTCATTCTGAATCAGTGGTTTCATGTACTTGGTCTCTCCTTTGTCTCCGCCATCTAATTTGATCATTGCCTTGAAGTTTCCAAAAACTTTTGCAGGAAGTGAGCCACTGAATTCATTACGAGAAACATCAAAAATTCGCAACTTGGGAAAGCAAAATTTAGCTTGACAAGTACTTATAGGTCCGCGGAACTTGTTTGACTTTGATATAAGGACCTGTAGCTCTTGAAGAGTTCCGAGCCAAGCTGGAAATGTGTCATCTATAGCGTTTTTCCCCACATCAAGGATTTCTAGACCAGCACAGTTGAGCAATGACATCGGGACAGGTCCTTCGAATTGATTACCATTCAGGACAATGGTTCTCAATGAAGTGCTCTGCGCACATAATGGTGGAATACTCCCTGTGAAATTGTTCCTTCTTAAGTCCAACACCGTTAGATTAGCCATACTTCCCATGCAACTTGGAATTGAATTACTGAAGTTGTTGTGTGATAAATCTAGAAATTTAAGCTTGTTCGTGTAACAAATGGATGAAGGTAGTGGACCTTGAAGGAAGTTAAATTTAAGATCAAGATAATGTAGTTTATAGTAACTAAATTGTTGTAAGTGAATTATGGGAAAGGTTTAGAAACCGCAACGAGTCCCACCTCATGCTACTAAACCAGTTAGGGATTTGACCCCGAATCTTATTATTAGAAATATCCAAGAACTTGAGTGTCTTTACATTTTTCAACAAGTGCGGAAAATCCCTCAGTTCACAAGATGATAAGGACAAAATTGCTAGACTAGGAAAGTTGATATGTGTTCCTGCGTCAAGGGTGATGTTATTTGTAGTATCTTACAGTTGTTCAGAACTTACTGATACAAACAACAACAACAACAACATGCTCGCTCGATGTAATCCCACAAATAAAGTATAGGTACAATATGATAACACAATAAATACCACTTATAACTTATCAGTTATGTAAGTGATAAGTAAACTTTACACTGTCAGTATATATAAATTAATAAAGTAACGGAAAGCGAGTAAAATATACTAGAGCACCTAGCTTGAATGTGATTTGAAAGATAATTTTCAAATCCTTAACCCGGTGTTCTATACGGGGCCCCGCAGCATAAGGCCCATTAGAAAGAAGAGAGGCCCAACCATGTTTAATAGGATCAGCCCAATTTTGAGGCCCATTTAAATTTCTCTTAGATACATTTATATTTATAGATAAATGATAGAAATCTCACATTTAAGTTCTCTTATTACTATTATCCTTCATTAGTTTTACAAATTCTCAAATTCCCTTATTTTCACACATCAAATAAATGTATCAGCGCATCAAATTAATGTATCATGTATAAAATGTAATGTATCTTAATTGTATTTCGCGCATTAGATTAGTATATCAGCGATTCTATTAATGTATCATTTGAGGGATTTTTGTCACTATAAACTTATAAGAGACAAATGATAATTTTTCCGTAAAAGTATATGATTTCTGTTTTTTGCCCATTATTTATTATACCATACTCAATAAAGGAGTTTTTTTAAATAATTTTTTTTTACCATAATAGCTATCTATGAAACTTAAGTTTACAAGTTATTTCATTGAATATTCGAATTTAAGAAAGAAAAAAAAAATAGTTGTTGGAAGTTGTACCCACCATGCTAGAAAGTGTTTGCTTAATTGCCTAGCTGATTATCCTTATCCTATTACTAAATGAAAATGATTCAAAATTCGAAATATCTAATTAAATATAATGTCGTAAAGGAATCTTATTATCTATCTTTTTTTTACCCTAAAAGAAAAGGTATAGCTTAGGTTCGGCAATGTTTAGTAACTCAACTCAAATCATATTTTAATATTTAAAATTCTCAAATAATCTAGCAAAAATCAATCAAGGTGCGGTTTTTAAAATTTAAAGATCAAATTTCATATATTCCAAGTCTTAAATCTATCTCACCTTTCAGAGGCGGAATCACAATTTAATGTCTATAAATTTTGAATTCATGGCTAAACTCTCACAACTATAATTTTAATTACCAAATTCATTATATACTTATATAAATTTAATTAATTTTCTAAAAATATATACGAAGTTTAAACAAAAGTTATTAAATTTGAAGGAAAAAAAGAAGAAGATAAAATTACAAAAGGAGGACAGAATCACGAGAAGGAAATTAAAAGGGCTCACAAGAATACAAATTATTGATGACCTACCAACTACCAACAAGGGTACTGGCTAGCTATAATTGGGAGGAAAATGTTCTTTCCAGGGCGGAATCGGAATTTAAAATTATAAAATTTAAATTTTTCATCGAACTTATAATTTATTTTAGTTGTTGGATTCATAATTAAGAATTATGTGTTCAAAAAAATGATATACAGGGTTTAAACAAAAGTTATTAAATTCATTTGATTACCAATTCAGATAAACTCAATAAATTTTTATTTTTATTTTAAAAGTCATTGAATATATACAACTTATTAATTTAAAAACTCAACAAACAAGATTTAAAAAAAAAAAAGAAGATAAATATATAATCATAAACTTTGAATTTTAATTTTACCTCTTCATCCCTACTCGTACCTAATATTATAGCTTCATCTCTATAAATACACTTTCTTTCCTAACTTTCTACTATACCCTAAATCTTGTACAAACACTTAAAAAAAAACACAAATCAAACACAAAAAATTAGCAAAAAAATCATCAAGAAAAAAAAAATTCTCTTCTTCCTTTTTTTTCTATGATTTAATTTCATATTAATTCAGATCAAGAAAAAGATTATCGGAATATATCGAAGATGAAGAATAAGAAGAATATTGAAAGAAATAAAAGGGAAAAATACCCTTTAATTTCTTATCAAGAATTACCAGAATATATGAAGGATAATGAGTTTATTTTGAATTATTATAGAGCTAATTGGCCTCTCAAACAAGCATTTTTCAGTATTTTCAGTTGGCATAATGAAACTCTTAATGTTTGGACGTAAGTATCTCATTTTATTTTTATTTTATTTTGAGTTTTATAAATTCGCTACGAAATTCATCGCTCAATAATTAACTTGTAGTCAACAAAAAATAACAATTTGTTGTTAAATAGAATTAACGATGAATTTTGTTGTTTTACAAAATTTGATAGATAACTTGTCTTAATTTATATTATAATTTTTTTGAATGGCCCTTTTTAGAATAGTTGAAATAATTACTTTGTTTACAATTTATTTTGCTAAAATTTTGAATTTACTTTTCTAAATGGGATCTTGCTTGTTTTGTTTTTTTTCAGGCATTTAATTGGATTTATTCTATTTGTGGTATTAACCATAGCTAATGCAGAGCATTTATCTCAAATTGCTGATTTTATGACTATGTTTATCCGGTATGTAACTAATCAATTTAACGTTTTCGTTAGAAAATTATACTGTATATAAGTTGTATACATAATATTGCATATGAATTTTGAACCTTGTGCCTTTGTTAATTAAAAATCTCAAATTTAAGCTTAATAATTAAGTCGTATTTGATAAAAAAACATTTTAATTTATCCACTTAGAAGG